GAGTCAGCGCTCCGTCATCCCCCTTCCGCATGGTATCGTAACGCGCAACACGCAGTGACATAAGACGGCGTGAGGTAACAGTGTTGCTAGGATATCGGCAAACAGGCAACCAGGTAACAAGGAAGCCAGGCATTTTCCCGTTGTCCGGCTGAAGGTTTATAAGAGACCTACACTGCCTACAAAGTTAGTTCTCAAGGCAGCTAGCTACGAGTTAGTTCCGAGAGAGTTCCGAGTTAGCCAGCAACCAGTCAGTTGTATTCTGGCATTTGCAGTGTAGTATTTGTGATACTGCAGATAGCAGTAATTGTGAATCTGTAATATGGGTGATTGTAAGTGCGAATGTGAAATAAAATTCGCTATACCAAATACGGCGTGAGGTTATCTGTCGCGTTATACACCCAATACGTGACAATATTATTATCAGTTTATCAGTTCAAACATGTGCGTAGGTTTCTTAAGTAATATACATAAGCATTTACATGTATGCTTGCTGAACTAATGGAATACAGACAAATGGTGCTGCTGATGTCCATGTACAGGTAGCCACATACATGATTGAGGGAGAAAGGAAAGAGGGACAGGCTACAGGACTAACCTGCAGAACTTTCTGCTGCTGTTGCATGAGATGTACATGATATCAGGATAATGGGGTGCTGATTTACAGTAGAAATGAACACTGGGTTCTTATTCATCTTTCAGATCTTAAATTGACTAGCAATTTCTAGCTAAAAATGTATGCCATCAACTCCTATGATTTACTTTAACCTTACATGAAAGGAATTATTATTCTACTGAATACCACGGATTGGCAAGTGCTTAATTTGCTTGAAAGTAGCTAATGAAATGAAAATGGAAAATAGGCAGTGATATATTTCACACTAAGGCAATGCATCTGTTAATAAAACTGCAGGCAATGAATGGCTCAATCTGCTTTAGAGATAGTTTCTTAACTTGGTAAATTAATCACAATTCAGGCGTTCATCTTAGATATTTGGAATAAAATAATTTTTAATTAAACACACCATTTATTTTCTAATTAATCCTAACAGATCTCTCGAGAAGTGAAACTATGAATTTAAGAGAATATTAGTATGACACCTGTTAAGAATTCAACACACAGTCTCATCATTTCTTACATAAGTTTTCGTACTGTTGGCTTCACCAACTTTTCCTCACATTCCTTTCCAGTTCTCCAATTATTGAATGATATACTGAGGACCCCCCTCGTTGGTGTCTCCACCTTATCGTGGTGAGGGGGTTTGAGTATGCCAAGGATCCTGAGAGCTATACCAGCGGTAGCGTAGCTACTGACAGGGCCTCTCTTGCTGGACAGGTCAAAAGGTAGGCATCAGACGAAGAGAGACACCAAAAACTGATGCCGGAAGCAGCGTCATCAGTAGCGACTTGAAGCACAGAGCAAATGATGCTCGAGATGGTTCAAGTTCGTATAGCAACAGGCGTGACCAGAGTGGTTTGAACGGCTGTTGTACTNCCCATGAATAACACACCCAAACAGACAATGGTCACTGAAACAAAAGACTAAGCGCTTGCTAATTCATGACCCACTACACGACTTATATGGACAATATTTTGGTGTGGTAACCCCAAATTGCATAATTTCAGAGTGTTCATCTCACAGTTATGTTACTTTCTTATATACCTCTGTGTGTGCATGTGTGTGTGTGTAGAAGGACATGCCTGTCTGAATTTTATATAGTAATTTGTCCATAGGTAACCCACACAGTCTCTTAAGAACAATAAAGTTGTTCAGAATTACTAGGTTTTTGGACTTTTTCCATCGTCCGGAATTCTAGGTAATAGAGGACACGATGTTTCGGAAACTGATCTGTTCTGTCTTCGGGTGAGAAAGGAAGACACTTACTCAGTTGGGCCCCTTAGAAAGAGCTAATCTCTAGTTCCTGAAACGTCGTGTCCTCTATTATTTAAAATCTGGACGATGGAAAAAGTTCAAAAACCTAGTAATTCTGTGTGTTATCCACCATCATCAGAACCCTTTAGAATCTACTAATAAAGTTGTTACCATGTATTACTGGTAACATGCCGCTCCCCAGCCCAGATGTTCCATTCTCTGTCATCTCCAGCCAGCATTTACTGTCTCGGTGTTTGTTTCATTCATAGCAAACATAAGCATACACCTTCCCCATGCAGAAAATGTGAGAGTCTGTGCACTATCATATGCCACGCAAAAGTGAATTGGTAAGGACAGTACCTTAGTGTGGGACAACTGTAGGATTCACAAGGTAGAAAGGTGGATAAAACTGACACACGCCATTTACATTTTTTTTATAGCCTAAGAGGTTCATACACGAGCTTCTTGCATGTAGCAAATTATAGAAATGAAATCTTTGCAGCGATGTGTGTTTGTCAATATTTAATGTGGTTTAACAGCAGCAAATAGCTGTTAAAAAGGTAGAGTCCTCACCTCATTTTCAGCTGTTACTTCTGACAATGCCTTCTCTTGTAATTTGGTGGTTGCCAGGGCCAGCAAATACATGTTAAAAGTGTATTCCACATCATCCTGAGACACTGTCACTTTCTGCAACAAGGCACATTGCTTATGAAAATCAGGCACATCTTGTTAGTAGAGAGTTCTTCCTGGAAACCTGAATCCAGCTACCCCAACCGTGAGGAAACATGGAAACAGACCATCAGTAAGTAAGTCTGTTATTTATCTTGAATCACTTTGACTACAGATGCAAATGATTCAATGTAATTTGTGTCAGTTCTTTTTGTGTTTCTGTTGTGGTAGGACAGTCAGAAATCTGTTTGATGTTCTTATTTACAGTACCGAACTGAGATGGTGATACAATTGAAAAGAAGGGCTTTCTGCACAATGCTTTAGAGAAAAAATAATCATATAAATTGTGTAAAATGAAGGTTTCACCGTAAGTATCCTGGTATTTGAACTTCACTTCCATCAGTGATTTCTGAATTTGTTAACAATATGCATTCAGCCGGGTCTTTCTGAGACAAGAAATACATCAGAGAGAATACTGTACTAAACAGGAAAAGCCTGATAGTGGAGTCAAGTTAGAACATTCACCTTGTAAATACCTGACACAATTAGCTCCACAGGTACAGGTTTCAAATACAACAGAATGGAGGTAAAGGTAAAAGAAAAGGCAAAGTTGTCCCTGTGCTTAACTAATTAAGCACTACACCATGAAGTCATATAGGGGAGTGGATGTATAGATCCACAACAGCATGGAGAGCAAATAGAAGTTACATCTACTGACACATAAAATTAGACATATTCAAGCAACTGAAATAGGTGATCAGATGAAACACATGTCTGTAACTGGTTTTGCAGGCACTACCTGATGGTGTTGACCCAAAACTTAAATTTTTTATTGGTGAAGCTTGGTTCAACCTGAGTGGGTATATTGACGTTCAGAACAATAGGTCCTGAAGCAGTATTAATCTGACAGACCCTTGTAGTGAGAAGACCGGTGGGTGGCATGCCATTTCTGCTAATGAACAGAAGGACTAATATTTTTTGAACAGACTATTAACTCAGAGTGGTATTATCAGTGACATTTTTGGTCCTTCTTTGAAAGCATCAAGGAAGAAGACAAGACATGGTTATTTTATGCAAAGCTGGTGCTACAGCACATGTTGCTAAGTATTATATTAATGTCTTAAGTGGGGTGTTTGAAGACAGACTACGGCCCACAAGGTCCTGTGATTTTTATCGAGAGGAACATAAAAGCAAAATGCATTCAAAGAGTCCCCATTTATTTGATGAACTTAAACACAACTGCGAAAGGAGTACATCGATTGAGGTCAGTAAACTCAAACTAGTGTTAAACAATCTTTTCAAGAGACTTCAAGTTTGTTTAAGAGCAAGGACAAATCTTGAGCATCTATTTTGATGGTGAGATCCTTTAAACAATTTACAAGAAATGCAATTTCACGTTTATCACACATGGCATATTAGTGGTGAACCTAGACTCCTTTTCTTGCCAAATGACAGCTAAATGTTTCAGCTGAAAGACAGTAAGTGATCATGTGATTTGGCCTCTCAAAAAAGACCACATATTGCAGGCCATTATGAGACACCATCACTTTCTACAGCAAGGTACATTATTCATGAAGAATGAACACAAATTGTTAAGTGTATTCAAGGCCACCCTGAGCTAATGCCAATTCCTAAAACATGGTGGACTGTTTATGAAGATCAGATATCTTGTTAAGTGTATTCCAGGTTATTCTGAAATACTGCCACTTCCTGCAACAAGGCACAATGTTTATGAAACTTCTGTACATCTTGTGAATGTATTCTAGATCATCTTGAAATGCTTTTTACTTCCTGCAAAAGGGCACCTGAGAGGATCAAATGAATATTGTGAGATAATTCCAGCTTATCTCATGGCAGTGTGTGCAAATAGGCACATTGTTTATTTCATCTTTCTATAAATGGTTATTTAATGAACTCTCAATATCAAGATTATATAGCACTGGATAAGACAATTAATGAATGTGGAGAATGTGTGAATGAAAACTGGAAACCAAAGTGCCACTTTGTTCACCACAGATTCCTGATGACCTGACCTGGAACCAAAAAATATTATCCTGTAATGTGGCTTGCAGCACATAATGCATAACACTCTGCATTCTCTGCTTAATTTATGTTTCTTAATTCATCAACAAACAAAGTAAAAAAGTTAAAATTTAACAGTATACTTGTATGATGTCCAGAATTTTGAGCATCTTAAATTCATCATAAAAGTTGGCCAAGGAAATTTGGCTTTTAGAAATATAGGTTTGCAGTGCTGTGTGTATGTGTCCACCTGATGACTTGATACAAAATGACAGACTTTATATTCTTATGATATTCTTGATGTTACCTTGAACAGCTTTCCCTTGCTAGACACGCTGTCTGACCCAGTGGTACTGGTACTTATGGGACTGACGCTGGACAGACTTTTGTGTGACCGAGCCAGTGGATCAGCAGACGTTTTCTTTTTGGGTGTTGACATCACTTTCTGATTTGGTTTAATTGTAGAGCTCCTCTTAATCCTATGAAAGTAAGATAACCTCCAATTACTAACGCTACCAAGGCGTATTCTCCTGTCATGTAGGAGGGTGTAGCACTCTGCTGTTCATATAGTCTGTTCCTTCTGTCAGTGTTCAAGAGCCAGTAATCTTGTTTGTACTACTTTGCTTTTCACGTAGTTTAATGGACACATTATATTTATTCAACAGGGTTTCTCTTATGAAATTTGCAACTTGAACAGAAATTTTCAATACTTCTTTAGTTGTAACAATTTATATCAGGTATACCCACTCTTTATGCATTAGTGTCAGACCTATGACAAAATAAGGACAGCTGGCCGTGCGATAGCTCAAGCGGTTAGTCGCTGGCTTCCCACCACATCGGCCCGGGTTCGATCCCGGGTCTGGTCAAGTGGGATCTGTGGTGGACATAGTGGTGCTGGGACAGGTTTTTTCCAAGTACTTCGGTTTCCCCTGCCAATCTTCATTCCACCAATTGCTCCACAATCACCCTCACCTATCATCTGGGGCTGGTACAATGGGCCAGAAGTGGCCGCAGTACAAAGGACTTAGTCCCACCTCACCAGAAAAAAAGAAAAAGAAAAGGATGGCTGATTTCCTTGCCACTCCACATTCATATTTGAGAATATCACAGCCCTTTGAGCCAGAAGAGTTGTTTGATCAATAAAATATTAAAAGCACTGTATCAACATCAGAGGCTACTGCATGTCGCAGGAGGTGAGGATGTTTAAGCGCACCGAACTTGAAGGGATTAGTGGGAAATCAATATGGACTTTTTAAGCATATCCCAGTATTAACCTGAATGTTCACTGAAAAAACTCACAATAAGTGGGGTAACAACTATAAAATAAATATCAGTACTACCTCGTGGCAAGCCCTTAATATATGAACATATGGAGAGTCAAGACTAGCCTCCTGTGGTTCTCCACTTGAAGAAAGAGTATGCTGTCAACCCATTCAATTCAATTCAGTACAACTATGAACTAAAGGGCAGACTAAGTCCTTAGTAAGTGATCTCAGTTAGAAGAAAAGTAACAGAATTATATACAACCAATAATAATTTATACAAGGTAAAATATGTTAAATAGCTCAAAACTGAGTTGAAGTGTAAAGTTATGCCTCAGTTTGTAAAGTTCAATATTATGCTACACATTAATCTTGCAAAGAAATTGGAAAATAACAAATTTGCCTGTAATAGTGACACAAGCATTAATAATATTCTGGATACCATGTCATGCACCGGGTGGGTACCAATATTTCAGAGAAACATACTGTTTTCATCTTCAGGGAAGGAGTAAAGCTGGTGGCAGTATGTTCCTCCAAACGGCTACTAGACTACATGGTGTCATAACATGTAAGGCTACATGCATCTTCATAACCATTAAAACCTAAAATTTTGCAAGCCAAAGTACAACTACAGTTCTCCGGTAGGGGGAACTTCGCCTAGTCTTCCCTATACGATACGTAGCAGATTACGCTACGAATCCCCTACTAGCACATTCCAAGGCGGTTGTTTCATTAAATTGGTTTAGTTCGTTCAATACGGACATCAGCAATTTTCGCTTTTGTAACATGAAAATTCAATATTACGAACGTACTTTTTCGTTGCAATTTTGCTGATTCAAGTTTCCACTACAGCAAGCTGATAATGTTGAGGTTCTTGAAGAATGTTATACACATGTCAAATGCACTGCAACCACACAAAAACTTTCCCTTTCACGACGTTCACCACTACTTAACCGTCCTTAATGATTTCACCAATCAATTACTCCATGTGCTTCACATTTTCCCGCAATTCTAGTGACCCTAGTGACGTATTAATTATGAGTGTGGGGGAATCCATTGCCAAGCCCTACGATACTTCCCTATGTATTTCCCAGTCATAATTTCTCCATTAACCACAACATATACGATAATTCGGTAATTAATATGCAATTATAATAGGTTATTATTTTTGTTTCAATTTCTCGTCATTTTATATGTGTAATGTACGTTAATTCTCTATCCTTCTTAGACAGTCATATATAAAGGAAAGACTTATTTGATACTCGCAAAACGTTTGAAATAAGATCTAAGTTTACTGTGATATAATTATTTTTATTATCACAGCCAAATCAATTGTAAGGCATTTTTAATACATAATACAACTTCGGTATTTGGTTAGAAATTTGTTGTGTTTCACTCCCTGTATGTCAGTTTACGCGGGAATCGAACGTTTGGAAGGCTTACGGCTGGAGGTGCGGTTTCGCGTTACGAACAAAGGTATTTATTCTTTTTGCGATACATCAACATTCTGTGTATCAAATAGTAAGTTATGAATAAATATGTGACTGCAATTCACATTTAATATGCAACATTTCTGCCAAGTATTTCATATTAGGGATTGGGGAATTTTGCCATTGCAGCCCCAATATATATTTACTTTATTGATGTTTGTTGCGAATAATATGGGTTTATACCACACGACATCACAAATTCATGGCCTTAATACAAGGCGTAATTTTGATCTTTATCGCACTCAGATAAATTTGACATCTTACTAGAGAGGACCTTACTGTTTTGGTATTAAACTTTTTAATCATCTTTTAAATATAAAAGAGTTAATCCATAATAATTATCAATTTAGAGCAGTTTTAAATGCTTTTTTACATACTAAATCCTATTAAACTTTAGATGAATATTTAATTAGGGAGTTTCTTGTTTGGCTGTGACCCATTATTTGTTCTATTGTCATGTATATGTTCCAATTTTGTATTATATTTTATATACACATTGTAGGTTATGTAGTTGCAGTGATGTGTAGGGGTTTCATATGCTCGATTTATTGTTGTGGATTTATATGCATTGTTCTGTTGTCTCCTTGCTGATTTAGCAAGCTTGTGGTGTGACAGGCTCTGTATCCAATGGCTTCGGCCTTATATGGGTGTGCTGGAACGTGTAATAAATATGGTACAATTACATTTTCATTTCCAGCTCCTAATGAAGTGCACAATTCCTGAAATATCGTGGCACAACCGTGATCCAGTCCTCAGTGTAGATATCCAGCTTGCTTGTAAGAATGAAAATTTTGAGAGGTTAGCTACAGGTGGAACAGATTCTCATGTTGTCGTGAGTATTCAGAATGCTGAACATTGATCACCATTAATGTATAAAGTTATGTTTTCTGTCCAGACGTAAATATGGTATTTATATGTTGTTGCTCAAACAGACCTTGAGGTTTACACTTCATGTTCTAAGCCTTGGGCCAGGGTCAGTGCAATTCTAAATACGTCCACCCCAAATGGGAAAATGAATGGCTTGGCTATGTCACATTGTAATTGATGACGTGAAATTCCCAGACATAATTGTAGGGTTGCACAAGCCTAAATACCGCCGTAGGACATATTTTAATTTAATTAACATGATGTAATAGTATTTATACCGGTCACGGTAGCTGAGCGGTCTAAGGCGTGCACTGTTTTCGCTCGCTCAGATTGTGGGTTCAAATCCCACTCAGGACGTGGATGTTTGTATGCGTTTTTCTGTGTTTGTGTACAGGTAGAGGCTTTGCGACAAGCTGATCACCCGCCCAAGGAGGCCTACCGAATGTGTAAGCTCTAGAAAAACCGAAGTGAACGGAGAAGTTCATGGAGGTAGGCCTAGGCCCACTGGGGCTGTAGTGCCAAGAAAAAAAATAGTATTTATGAAACCTGTGTGAAGGAAAATAATCTAACACATCTGAAAACTTTAATGAACCAAAATTAACAGTAACAGTAACAGTAGCACAGTAACTGGCAGATTTCATCCTAAGGTGGTATCACTTGAGTCTGTGGTCTGCCTGTCTTATGTGACATGCAGTACTGTGAGATTGGAAACAGTGTGTGATGTTGTGACCATTGCTACAAGTTTATCACCTTTCATGATCACTTTTATTCCTCATTTGATGGTTTCTGCAGATAACGCGGGATCATTACCTAATTTCTGTTTGATGATTGAAACCCGTTTTGCATGGATTCCGTTACGATTCATTGATTTTGCAGATTTGGCATGTTGAAATACAAGGCACAGGGGCAGTGAAAGTTGAATTTGCTGCAGACCTGCAGAGACATCAGAAAGCTGTCAATGTTGTTAGGTTTTCTCCATCTGGTGAATTTCTTGCATCTGCAGATGATGGTAAGATGATCTGATGGCTGTTACTGTATGTTCATAGCGGCCTCCGTAGTCTAGGGGTAACATTCCCACCTCGTGACTCAAGGTACGTGGGTTCAAACCCAGCGGAGGTCGTGGAATTTTTGAGGGTGGAAACATTCAGGGAACAAGTCCTCCAGGAGGGACTTTA